TGCCTCGGCGAGCCAACCTTTGCCAGCATCGCCATACCATCGCTTTATCAGTCATCAGGCAATGGGTGTGCGGATCGAGTCCCAATTTTCGGAATCACCTTTCTTTGGATTGCTACAACAAATAAACCAGGTGCTATTAATCCTAGTATTTTTTGCTTGTTCGGGTTCTTTTTTCCCAAGGAATTATTACTCTGATTTGTTCATCATATGTACACAGGTTTATCAAATGATGGCCGTATTAACGACGGTCGCATGGTGGTTCGGTCAGTTTCCATACATGGTCCGGCGAACACCGCGTCCGGAACTCGGACCGACCTGCGAATTCAGGCTTTGTCACGCCTTTACCGCATCACGCCGACGCCCTGCATTGACATTGGCTTCGGCGCCAGGCCACATTTCTTTAAATAAATTATTTTTGCGTAAAGCAATTATGCAAGGATTATATATATATATTATTATCATTTCCTGGACCGCACTGTTTTATGTGTGCAGGTAATCGATTTTGACTGCATTTGGTGGTCACTACTCCGGAGTGCCGAACTCCTTGCTCGGACACCTCGGGCCTGGGGGTTGGGACCTCGGCCATGCCGAGGACTGCGAACCTTGTCGGATCTGTCACAGATCAATGGCACAAGCCTGAATCGCATCATCAACACCGAGCACATTAACCAGCTAAGTTGCTTTCATGCTAAAAAACTTTCAGTTTTAAATTTTTTTCGGTTCGACCAAGCATTATAATTTTCGGCACAAAGTTGTTTGTGACAAAGTTCCTTGTCAAAACTTTGTTTGTGACGCGCATATTTAAATACCCTGTTTATTTGGGGGCTCCCTTGATGGAGCTTTTCCTCTTGCATATGATTATACTTGTACGACTTCGTTCCTTGTTCGTGTATTACACCACAATATGCACCATATTGACCTAAGCGATTTGCAAACTGGGTTGCCTAGCTCCTGTGCTTACCCCTACGTTCCCGATTATTCGGCTAGGGAGTAAAGGGAGCACCTCTGCGATTGTCATGATCGGGTCATCTGAGCTCTGGCCTCAGACTGGATGAAGCCTAAAGCTAGCGCTCTTATTGTTTTCAATCATGATCGGCACACAAAGGAACTCATGAGTACAAAAAATCTATTGCACAAGTCTCATAGTAATAATGAGCACCGAAGAAAGGTATCGGTGGGGGTACTATTTTCTTCGAAGATGCTTCTTACACTTTGTTAGTAATATAGCATAAGCTCCCTGAGCACGCTTTATCTGTTACAACCTTATGGCCTGATTGCCTGGTCATCGGAAACACTGTCGATACTCTCGACAGGCGGAGTACATGACACTTTTTGGCCCTTGACCGAAGAGGGAGAAGCCGACGGTCGGTTAAGACGCGTATAAAGTTCGGGTGAACACAAATATGATATAAGTACTTTGGTACATACAATCATTATACATAAAATTCTTTTACCCAAGTCACTTGGGGGCTCTTAAATTTATATGAGCCGTTTTATAGTAAGTGTTCTTCTTCTTAGTCGTTGTAAAGTTTTTATTTAAAACACGACAGAAGCACTTTTTTTTCTTCTAAAGTCCAATTTTTAGATTGGCACCGGACACTTAATCTTGTTCGGACGTCAGGTTTTCACTGACGTTTTTTGGTTTTCCAAGCCTATGGCACCTTTTAACTATTTGTGTGTTTTCAGCACAAGTCTCGCAGTGCAACGCCGGATGCCTTTAGAGATTCGACAAAAAACATTCTCGGATATTGCTATATATGCATCGGTTTCGAATTGTGTCTTCGGTCAATAGTTGGGTTGCCCGGCTCCTGCGCTTGCCTCCTACGTTCCGGTTTGTTCGGCTAGGTGTGCGAAGGGAGAACCACTACGATTGTGCTTCCAGCTCACATGGTTAAGCACCTCAGTGGAGAAAGCCGAAAGCTGACTGTCACAATAAGCGTAAACTGGTCAGCGATCCGATGACAGTGTTAAATGACGGGCCATTCATAACAATGTCCAAAGTGTTTACGGCTTGACCTCGACTGTCGCCGAACACTACCGGGGCCTATTAACTGGCCTCCCAAACCAAATCCTCAATATTTTGCTCTTACATTAGAGCTGAGGTTTCATGATCATGCTTAGCATGGCAACCCAAAAAAAGAAACCGATAGCGAGACTATTTTCTTTGAAAGATATTTCTTATGTTAAACAGTAATATAACATATCTCTCTGCGTATATTTGTTTATAAAACCGTATGGCCAGATTGCCTTGTTTGTCGTAAATCTTTGCCCTCATAAAGACTTTATAAAGTAGGACAAACACTCCTCGGCTACTAGCCGAGGAGGTGGAAGCCAATGGTTGGTCAACAAAGTTTTGTAAAATGCGGATCCGAACATTAATGATGTAAAGTACTTGGATACATAGAGTCATTACACATAATTTGTGATTTTACTATGGATATCGATCCTTAATTCGGCCACCCGTGCCTGCATTAAGGCTCGGGGGCTACTGGACTTTGGGATTATTATTTACAAATATTAAAGGGGTACATCGATCCCCTGATCTGGTGTTGCCACCCGACCAATGTCTCGGGGGCTACTGCATTGCCTGTTCAATACAGAAAATTTTAAGTGCAATACAGTTTCCGAGGAGATTTTAATCCTCAGGTTGGTCGGCCGCACCCAACCTGAGTCTCGAGGACTGAGCACGCCGCTTTTTGTGTCCCGAAGTATTCTGCCGAGTTAGGACTTGATCCTCAGGCCGATTTTGCAAATCAACCTGAGTCTCAGCGTCTACTGGGATCAGTGGTCTTACATCATCCTTCAGGTGCATCTCGGGTTTTAGACCGATACACACCTTGAGGGCTACTGGCTATATATCTCGGCAGAGAATAAATTGCACTAATAAAAAAATTAACAAAAAATCGACCCATGGTCGGGGTGGTGCACAACCTCGGAAGCAGTCCGGTATAAAGCTCGGGCGCTAGTGGCTGGCTCCATAGAGGGCATTTCCAGCATTAAGCTCGGCTAAACTCCTTCATCTTTTTTGAACCAAGGTGATACGACACCTCGGATATAGTCCGGCGTTGGAGCCCGGATACGGTCCGGCGTTGGAGTTTGGACATAGTCCGGCGTTGGAGCTCGGATACATTCCGGCGTTGGAGTTTGGACATAGTCCGGCGTTGGAGCTCGGATACATTCCGGCGTCGGAGCTCGGAAAGCGGTCCGGCGTTTGGTGCTCGGCTGCAAAAGATACCTCGAATGCAGTCCGACGTTGGAGCTCGGACACAAGAGGACACTGTCTCTCGGGAACAACTTCAAACCTGAGGTGTGGCATAAAAATAACAAGGCATTGATAAAGGCCGGAAACTTAAAGGGGCTCCTCGGATACCCGACGTATAAACTTGTCGAATGCATTTCGGCGATCCTCAAGATCGAAGATGAGAAGATTTGTTGAACCAGTTTTCAAGACCGACAATCGAAGATGAAGAATAGTTCGGAAGAATCGAGGAGCGTCCCTAACTTGAAGACCGGTTCAGGGGGCTACTGACGGTGTCTTGGACTAGGAGGTACTCACCACGTCATCTCCCGATCTATTAGATTGGGCCGAGGACCCCCATGGCCGTATACTCATGGGCCAGTTCAGACAGCTGCCGCATACAAGGAAGATTCCATAAGACTTGGTGGTCAAGACAAGGACTCCTCCCCCACCGGCATATTCGGCTAGGACTCTTGTTATCCTAGGCCTCTGGTGCATTATATAAACCGAGGCCAGGCTAGTTGATAGATATATACAAACAATTATAATCATAGGCTAGCTTCTAGGGTTTAGCCTCTATGATCTCGTGGTAGATCAACTCTTGTAATACTCTCATATCATCAAATATCAATCAAAGCAGGACGTAGGGTTTTGCCTCCATCAAGAGGGCCCGAACCTGGGTAAAACATCGTGTCCCCTGCCTCCTGTTACCATCGGCCTTAAACGCACAGTTCGGGACCCCTTACCC